ACTACGTAAAGTAAACGTAACTACCACCCACGCTTCCTAACCTACGTCGTAAACGAAAAGAAAGAAGACAAGAAAGACAAAAAAAAAGCAAAAAAAAAAAAAAAACAGCCCTCATCCCCAACCTTACTAATGGCTATCCTGAAAAGCAACCTTTTCTCTGAAAGTGAGGAAAGGCAGCATAAAAAAGTGAGATGCAAATTATTTTAAGGCAATAAGGGGCAGGGGGCGGGGGGGGGGAGAGGAAGTGCTGGAGAATGTTAACTCAAGCCTCTATGGCAAAGGAGATTCTTTCCACAAAGCAAAATATAAGCACCTGTTTTGCAAAATCCTCCAAAAGCAAGAAGGGGGGGGTGATATAAAAAGTTCTTTTAATTACAATAAACAAATAAATAAATAAGCAGTGCCAACTAGCAGGCGATCAAACCACAGTCAAACTTCAATCTCAGAGCAGTTAGCTATAAACTGTTAGCAGTTGAAAAGTAAACCTTGTGCACACAAAGGCACTGTTTAATTTTCTTCTTGTAAGGGTTCTAAATGAAGACCCCATCACTATGCAGTTAAGCGGTATTTCTTGTCCCCCTGAGGCGCTGATCAGTTCTTTATAATGTGAGAAAAGTGGCAGCTCAAAACCCGTCAATGGAGCTCCCACAACAAAAGTTCTGAAAAGCTGAATGAATTGGGTTTGTAATTACTGCATCCCATTCCCCCCACCCCTTGCAGCTTATCTCTTATTCATTCACCTTATATTATCGTCAAAGAATCTTACTCTCAAAATCATTCCCTTCCCATTCTACCTGGGGCCACGGGAGGAACCTATGACACGGCAGAAATGGAACACTTGCCACCCCCCCACACACACACCTGGAAGTGTTCAGACCAATAGGTAGGGAGGAGAGGAGGGATTATCTTGTACCCCAGTTTACTAAGACTACTAGAACTCAGAGTAGTCAGCCTACAGAGTCTTCCATTTTAAAACCAGAATTTTATTGGCAAACAGGAATGTGTACCCTTTCTAAATTCAGAGCCTTCTTGAGTTTCTGAAATCCTGTGACATCTCCACTTAGAAAAGGCAAAGGTTAGAAATAAATCCCTCCCCTGTCTCTTCAAATTGCTAGGTCCTAAAAGCCCATGCCAGACATGATGTAAAATTAAGATAACTTATTATATCCTTTTCTTTTAAACCAAAAATGGTAAATAAAATAGAAAAAGAGACTATAATCCACCTCCCACCCCCACCCCCACGCCCCAGTAGTCAAGGAAAAGGTTTTATGAAAAAGTCAGCTTTAGAATGCCAAGGCTCTGTGTGTATTTCAATCCGAGGCATTGCTGATGGAGAAGATTCTCCTGAGATTTCCTACTGTAAGAATGTGTCGGTTCTAGAAATAAGTACAGCTATTACAACCAAATCTACTAGCAGACTAAATAATTAATTGAAGCGTTGCTCTTTGACCCTTGAAAAGTCCAGTAGGGACACGTTTATAGTAATAATACCTCCGAATGAGCCCTTGTCAAATATTCATTTAGTGGTTAATGTGAGCCATTTTCCCCTGGGACTGTCTGTAATACCAGCTTCCCAGCATTGGCAAGAAACCTTGCTAATCTACTACAGCTCAGCAAAATATTTTAACGCTCTTTATTTAAAGTATGGGGGGGTGCAGGGAGAGAAGAAATTGCAGAGGGAACAAACTATAATCTCATCCTTCTGCACATTTCTATTCATCGTAAAAAGGTTAACAAAACATTAAATTCATCCTTTTGACTGTGAACGGAATGGTTTTAGTGAGCAGAATAATAACCTGAGGAAAGAACTGAACACTCAACAACCAACTTTAGCATTGGGAGATGATCATCTCTGGGCAACCTTATGGGTTTACCCCCTTTTTGGAAATCATGTTACAATTAAAATATTGTATGTTCAGTATTGATCTAGCCATGAAACTACACATCTGGGGGAACCATTTCACCCAATCAAATGAGTAATGAAATATGTATCATTTTCCTCAAATGCAGTTTATCAAAAGGATTTATATTTGCAAACAAAATATTTTGGCTTTCATTTGGTTAGGAGATAAAAAGGGATGGGAGGGGAAATGGGAGTTCTCTTGTTCTATGCAGGCGGTAACAATCACTCAAAACTACTGCAACTTCCTACAATATTGCTTTCTTCCCTCTTGCAAAATATTTGAACTTGAGCATTTTGCCAAAAAGTTGTTGCTTTTTTTAGTCTGATTTTGTGGGCTTTTTTTTTTTCTTAAGGAAGTTTAGGCGCAGCGCAATTACTCTAAACCCTAATACATATTTCTAATAATCTCTGTTTTTCAAATATATACACTCCATAGAGTTGATTGGCTCAAATTCCGGGAATATTCTCCCCACCCCCAGCAAGATCATTTGGATCTTTATTCAAAGTTTCTTTTATTCGTATGTGTGAGCAAGAACTGGCGAATGTGCTCATTACCACGTGAATAATCCGTATATGCATTACAATGGCTGGCCAGGCCGGGGGAAATTCTTTTAGAGTCTCTGCATTAATTAGGGGGGGAAATGCCTCACTTAGAATTGGGAACTGGCATAATAATTGTCCTTTCCCAGTACAATATTACTCTAAAAGTGAAGATTAAAAAAAAAAAAGAATAAATAAAAACCAACAAACACTTAAAATAAAGCAAGCCACATGAAATAAAAATACAGAAAATATGAGGCTATCCCCAGCTGAGCCCAGAATTAACATTAGCAACACCACGAGAAAGAAATACTTTCTCGGAAAAAGAGAAGATGCAAACCAACGGGATGAGCTAACATAGTGGCTGCAGCCAGTACTTCACTCAAGCAAGGGTGGAAGGCGCAGCCGGATTCCAACTTCTCCAAAGTTGTAGCAAGTTGACACAACAAGCCCTTGAAATTGTGGGAGGGAAACCCCCGCTCTTAAGAATGAGGAACCTAGGTTTCTGGTCCCCTTCGGTGGGGGAAGAAGAGCGAGGTAAGTAGTGAATAAAAGAAAAGTCCCGGAGTGGGTCTTACAGATTCTCTGGCTGCGCCAAGCGCGCAGGTCGGTTGTGATTCAGAAACATCTCTAATTCAAAGATTACGGCGATTCCCCAACTTTTCCGCTCCCAGTGAGGACAACTACAGTCTTTCTTTACCTTTCCTAAGGCAAAAGAAAACAACAAATCCAATCTTGTTTTCCCACCCCTTTACCCCTCCCCCTACTTCTCTACTACTGTAGTAAAACATGGTTAACAGATCAAAAGCACAATCATCTCCAAATGTGATTAGACCGGACAAAGTAAAATATCTACCTCAGAGTTGATTGTTTTCTTCTTTAATATGGCTGTTGCCTGGCTTCTCTTTTGCTTGTTATCAGCTGCACAGATTATCCGATTTGGGGCTACAGGCTTGGACCCGCGCTGCCAATTTAAGAAATGGAATTCGTGGAGGGAGAGAAAGGAAAAAAGAAAATAAATAATAATAATAAATAGCCATAAGTCAGGGAGTTTTGCAAGACGCTCTTTGGTTTCCCTCGCCCCTAAACTGGAAAAATGTGGAGGAGAAAGTTTATGAAGTCAAGGAACAAAGAAAGCAAACCACTTGTTTCTTCTCAGACAATAGCAGGGCCAGAGTAATCCAAACACCCACCCAGCAGATGAGCACTTTGCTTGTCTAGTTTGCAATTATTCTGATACAAGAAGCATCATTTTCCCCTATAACCACGTTTCCAAAGGGCCATTGTGCTGCGAAAAAAACGAAAACAAAACCAGCCAACCTGGTTCTGACTTGGCTCAATACCCCATCTGCTAAGCTACATGAAAATTTTCAGAATTGACTCTTTTCTGGCAACAAGTGGCACAAATCAGTTTAAGTCCCCATCGTGCTTATTCATGCTGCTTAGAAAAGGAGGGGGTGGATTTACAATATATGTCCCTAGTTTCTATTTTGGAAATGACAGGAGCATTTCTATTTTTTAAGAGTACTTATTCAATTAATCATCCAGCCATTTATTTGTTGCAGTTAACATTAACACATGTTACTGGACTAGAATACCAAGGTTTTAGATACTTTGCTTTCTTGGCTGAGCACAGTATATTCCCCAAGGAGCTGGTTATAATCAGTGTTATCCAAATAAATGAAAGACTCAAGCATAATTTCAGTGTCCATATTTCAAAAATTTATTTATCTCAAACTGTGCATAATGGAGTAAAAACTTAAGTTGAAAATGTACCTGTTATAAGGATGGTATTAGTTCAAATATATACATGGATTCTCGGCAGACTGATTGAATAATACAGAGCCGAATCTTTAAAATACAACTACGGAAAATAAAAGGGGGAAAAACCTTAAAATATCACAATAAATTTACAGAAATATTACAAACCATAAGAAAATATTTCAAACACAGTAATTTCATGTTTTTATCTGAACAAAATGGAAAGTTGGAAAACAAAAGCTATTATAAATTACCAACGATGTCAACCTGCATGGCCATTTTTGTTTGTAACAGTAAGTTTAAAAAAAAAAATTTAGTACAATCTAAAACTTTTGCCCCTGTAAAGAAGACCACGGAGATGGTTTTGCCAATACTTATTCTAATTTTCCTTTTGTACAATTTTTAAACAATTAAAGTGTCCAAATCTGAATTTTCTTTTCCTTCCACGTTTGCAACTGTCCTAAATTTCAGCTGCAGAATCAAAATTCAGCAAGAAGCCTCTCCTTGAAAAATATTGGCAAATTCTCAGCTTATAAACAATGGACATTTTGATTGCCATGTTTATCTCGATAAATACTGTACAAAAGTTGCTTGCAAATATTAAAACATTTTTTCGTCGCTTGGAGACTAGCTCTAAATATTATTGGTAAAGACTTTTGCAAACTTTCTGCAAAGCTCCTACCGTATCACTAGAACTTTTAAAAAGTTTTGCGTAGTTTTCTTTCCTCCAGATCTATACAAGGTCCATTCCCTCACCCTCCCCACCCCACCCACCCACGGTTTTCTCTGTACAAAAATAGTCCCCCAAAAAGAAGTCCAGGATCTCTCATAAAAGTTTTCTTGCCGGCATCGCGGTTTTTGCGTGAGCGCGGATGGGATTAGTGTTCTCTTTTGCAGCTGTCATTTGCTGTGGGTAATGACTTTTTGTTTTTTGAGCGTACCGGATTTTTCTCCAGGCTGTTACTTACTTACTCTCCTCCCATTCCCTCTTTTTCTTTGAAAATTTCTTCCCTCTCCCCCTCCAGTTCACTGTCCGGCCCTCACATGTGCGAGAGAGGCAGTGTGCCGTTAATGGCCGTGCCCGGCACCGGGCCGCTCTGGTAGTGCTGGGACATGTGAAGTCTGCTGGGGGCGGCGGGCTCCGGCACCTCGGCGCCGGGGAGGTACATGCTGATCATGTCCCGGAGGTCCCCGGCCTGGCAGGGCGCCCTGGAGTGGGAGGAAGAGGTAACCACGGGGGGGCTGGAGCTGGCCTCGGACTTGACCACCGAGCCCATGGAGCCAAGCGCCATGCCAGGGGTGCCCTGCTGCGAGTAGGACATGCTGTAGGTGGGCGAGCCGTTCATGTAGGTCTGAGAGCTGGTCATGGAGTTGTACTGCAGGGCACTCACGTCGTAGCGGTGCATGGGCTGCATCTGAGCGGCGCCGTGCGCGTTGAGGCCCGGGTGCTGTGGGTAGCCCAGCTGGTCCTGCATCATGCTGTAGCTGCCGTTGCTCCAGCCGTTCATGTGCGCGTAGCTGTCCATGCGTTGGTTCACGCCCGCGCCGAGGCCGGCGCCCACCCCGACCCCGCTCGCCATGCTGTTGCCGCCCGGGGCCAGCAGCCCTCCCGGCAGCGTGTACTTATCCTTCTTCATGAGCGTCTTGGTTTTCCGCCGGGGCCGGTATTTATAATCCGGGTGCTCCTTCATGTGCAGCGCTCGCAGCCGCTTGGCCTCGTCGATAAACGGCCGCTTTTCCGTCTCCGACAAAAGTTTCCACTCGGCGCCCAGACGCTTGCTGATCTCCGAGTTGTGCATCTTGGGGTTCTCTTGGGCCATCTTGCGCCGCTGCCCGCGGGACCACACCATGAAGGCGTTCATGGGCCGCTTGACGCGGTCCGGGCTGTTCTTCTGATTGCCGCCCGCCGCCGCCGCGGTGGAGTTGCCGCCGCCGCCGCCGCCGCCGCCCCCCGAAAGTTGCTGCGGGGCCC